TTAAGATGAATATTCCTATTTCTATATGCGGTTTCATTGCTTCTCATTATAATTAGATAATTACTATACTTTTAGTAGTTTAACCAATTTTTAGTAGGTTAAAAAATCGCCTAAACATAGTTTTTAGACGAAAAATATCATTTTGGCCTCAGATTTTTTTAAAAATGATAGCAGCTTAAATCCGAAAGAAACTAATATAAATTAAAACGCCCTAATGTTAAGGGATTTTCTCCAGCAAATGCCTGAAAATAGAGCCGAATCAGCGAACATTTTGCCATTACCCAACCATACTTCTCATAATGCTGTCGTGTTTTAGTCTAGAGCTTACCAATCTGGAACTTTTAAGAGATTGTTTATTTCAAATTTAATTTTCAAATATAATATCACGGAAGCGGATTTACATTGACATACACCACCTACTGACTCCTTGTTAAAGGATGCCCATGCTATATGGACCAATTATGTTGTCCAAACCACTTCCCGACCCTCATCATGTTTAAATTTTCTTCTCTACACAGACTAGATCACTTACCTAAAAATCAAGCTTATGTGAATCTCATCTGGTTCCAAATTTTTTGAAAACTAGAACTTCTGAAAACCACCACTGGCTCCCTCGCAGCCGGTAAGTTAAAATTTGTAATTTGGAATTATTTTGCCATAGATATGTAAACACTATTATTCTGATGTTAAGTAACCATTGTCAATTTTGCCATGACCAATTTCCACGGCTCTACAGGTGACTCCTTATCTTACATGCACTTAAATCGGCCGGTAAGGCGACTCTAACCTACCGGCATAACTAAAACATACCTATTAAATGTCCCTATTTCCTTTTTTTAAGAGATCAACTCCTTTTTATAAACATAAATTGAAATAATGTCTAGGCTATTTCACTTGCAGAATCATGTAACACCAAATATAGCCTTTTGTTATCGCATTTCCTGTCTATCCTATTCTAAGCATATTTTTTTCTAGAAAAACGGATACGCGAGAAGACAACTCATATATTTTTCCATTTTAGAATTTTAATTTAAATATTTTAAATTTTTTTCCCATTGTTTTTTATATATTCGAAGTTTTTCATAATTTAAAAAAAAAAAATTGATATTTTATGAAAATTATATCAAATACTATTTTTTTTAAAAAAACTAAAAATTAGAAAAGATAAAGTGACATTTGTCGCCTATCCTGTTGGATTTAACACATATAGTTTGACGTCTTAAACATATAATGACCGTATTTTAATTTTTTAAAATATACTCTAGCAGAGCCTACAAAGTCAAGTGAACACAAAATATATTTTTATAATAAAATATGTATTAACCCTACCGGCTACCTTTTTAACTTTAACCTTATTTTCATCCAAAGGGGTGGTTGGTTTCAGGAAAAACTGGTTAAGGATTACCTACTTTTTGTACCTTACTCCATATCTACTAACTTTATCACAAATGCCATTCCAAAATTTATTATTTTATCTGATATAAAGATAATCACTGACATGTTGTATTTTTCCATTACAAAAATCCACATAAAAATAATGTAGATCTGGTTGATGTTCATTGTAATTAATCATAATTATCCATAACAGTCATTTCCATTTTATATGATTTATTATATTAAAACACGAATCCATATTAAACTAATAATTTAAAAGTACTAGTTTATTTTATACTAGAAAAAATATTTTAACCAATATATAAGTAATAGTATTATTCTGCAAGGCTTAAGTTGTTAACTTAAAATTATTTACCGGTATTTTTGTAGATTTTTTATTTGGACTGACCCCAAATTTTTCCAACTTTTATCTAAACCTCGATTTAATATTTCTCAAGGGAGCAAAAATTTTAAATGCTAATGGCGGCAATATTTTAATTACATAAAATTTATAGTACCAGAAATTTTAAACGCAAAAACGATGAATAAGGGATTGTTAAATTAAGGGTATACTAAATCAGAACCCTCCAAAACTCCATAAGCCAATGTCCCTAAGATCTTCCTAGATGACTAACATAAAATAATTCGTTTATAAAATGCATACTGATTAGTTGACCAAGTTGGCATCCTACCTACCTTGAAACATTGAAATCTTACTAGCATAATCGTTTCTTACAACCTCTCTCCCATGCTAGAGGGTCACGTACTCTATATCGACCCGTATTTCAAGTCAAATTTGTAAAAAGTGATCTTTGAAAAAATTTTGATCAATCAATAAACAAATTCTAATTTTATGCCGCAAAAGAGTAGTCATGATTTTACTAAAGGAGGGAAACTTATGGGCGTTCCCTTTACAAAATAATTTTGATGGAATAAGGTAAAACCTTTCTACATTTTTCTTAAATTTTTCAATCCTATCTTAAAATTTTTTTTTGAAAAATTTCAATGCTCGTAATATAATATTTATTTTATAGAGATGGGGGAAGGGGGGGGGTGGCATTGGGAGTGTGAAGGGTAATTCTTTTTAGCCTAAAATGATATTTACGAAAACAAATAAACTTACTTAAAGGGGATAACTGTTTTATCTCCTTATATAAGCCTATGGAATTCCTAAACAGGTTCCTATATTCATCAATTTGCTTTGAATTGAAGTCTAGTAAACGGCATAAGTTGGAACAACCTTTAGATAATCATTGAATAAATATTATAAAATGAAAATAAGAAACCCTTACAAAAAATTTTACCTTCATCAGCAGATTTCACTCAAAATCTGCAGGTTCAATTTCCTAAGCATTCACTCCTCTCTAGGGTGATACGTACCACATATTATTTTTTTTTCATATAATTTTTAATAATTATATTTTATTTTGGTATCGTTTATAATGTATTTTTAAATTGAAACCGTTTTTTTGTAAAATAAATGGATATTTAGAAATAAAAAACGAAAGATATAAAAATCTATATTAATTAATAAAATAATATAATACCAAGCTAGCCTCTTACGAAATTTGAATTTTAAGTCTCTAATCCCGCATTTTCATTAAAGTTGGGTAGCTCTAGATCTCAAATAAACTATATGGTAGTAGTATATATTTTTTCTTCAAATTACTTCTTCGAATATTAACATTATTTTTATTTTTTTTCTTAAATAAAACACCGTTTTCTGCCGATTTCAAAAAGTTATAAGTTAAATCTATGATTCTGAGAGAAAAAAAAAACTCATTAAAAATTTTCCTTTCATTTAAACTAATCCAAGCTTATCTAGTTTTTGGTAAAATCAAACATTATGTAAATTTTTTGGTTTCGCTTTTATTTATTTTGTATTTTACATTATTTTATTTACTATGTTCAATACTGTCTTTTTGTTTATTTTTTTCTAATTCATAATCGTTTACTAACTACATTTATATTAGGTATCATATGATAGTTATTCATTTTTATATTTAATATAGTTATACATATAGTATTATATTTTCCTAAGTTAAATAAAATTATATATATATATTCTAATATTAAAAAAAAATATAGATATCTTAACTTGTAAGTTATCCTTATTAAAAAATAAGCAATATTTTTGAAGTGGTTTGTAGGACTTAAATGTTAGATAGAAGATACTTTAATTGATAAATTAGAAGACGATGGTTCAAATCCAGCTCGAGATCGTTTTTCTATCTTCAGAAGTCAACCACCACTAAATAGGTTAGGGCAAGGATTGAAGAATATAATCGGTGTTGTTGCATTTGGATAAAATTTGAGCGTTAATTAGTGGATTAATCGATATATGCTGACTGACATCATGCAACACCCACAATATAAAAACCATTCAACATCAGGCCTTATCCCCGTATCCCACATTTAGATAAAATTTAATCAGATGCTTGATGCTGCTTATAACCCCATGTAATCGGTTTAATCTCATGGACGCAAGGGCCTTGTCTAAAAAATTATTTAGTAATAGGCATTATATACTATTCTGGCCCAAATTAGGCCCGACCCCATAGTTTCTTAATCTAAGCCTAGTCCTCATCAGACCTTTATAAATTATTATATACATAGATTGTTCAAAATCAAACAAAAAAAAAGTATTCAACAGAAAAGTGCCTTTAAGTTCTCCATATTTTAATATAATCTGAAGTTTAGCAGCAAGTTCATAGAAATAAAGTGAATTAAAACATACTTTTTTTAAATATCAAAGTATAGGAAAAAGCTATTTTCACTTCCAAAGATTTTTGTTTTCCTTGTGTTTCTTTTGCGAGTTATTTCTTCTTGGAGTTTTTTTTAAAATTTTTCCAGGTGGCATTTTACTAGTTTTCTGGGAGTCTATTAAAAACGATGTAAATTTTTATTTATTTATTTTTCAAAAATATGTTTTTCTAAATTTAAAATATCGATTAATTTTTTAAAATAATCACAATTTTTTTTAAAGAAAATTAACAAATTTAAAGGAATTCAAATATAAAATAAATATGATAGTTATGATTTTTTTTTAAAACTAATTTCCGGCTAAATTTATGGTTTTTCTTTTTATCCTTAAGGAGGTAAGAAAGAGGGATTATAACTTTTATTCATTATGTAAGGGGGGGGGGGGTAGGAGTGCTTGGCCAAGGTATTCTGGTATAAGCGAATTTTAAAATATCTTTTTTTTCACCCTTGACTGATACGATATTTTACCAGTTTTTTTTTAATAAAAAATAAATATTTATTTTTCATTAAATTAATAATTCCAAGCATAATTTGAAAAAGCAATAATGCTAATAAATAATAATTTTTTCGAACACGTTAATATTCAATGTCGTTTTTGCGAAAGAAATTCGAAAAATAAAATAAAAATTCATTAAAATTAAATTACAAACGCATTATCATAAATCATATGAAAGCTGCAACCCAAATATTAAATTATATAAAATTTTTTTTACTCAATAAAATCCTCCCAAAATACGTAATTATTTTGTTATAATCACTTTTTTAAAAAAAATTATCTAATTTATAACAGCATTTTTAAAATAATTATTACTTCCTCATCGTTTCGGCTTTAGATTCATTCAAAATTATTTTGTTTTACTTTATTATAAAGAAAAATATTTTTACAATTGGAATGGATAGATGATCTCCTCCTATACAACTTTTAACTCGCAATTTGTTCATAAAAATATTTTCGTACAAAATCTAAAATGTTTATTCAAATTTTTTAAAAGTAAGTTTGAATTTATATTGTGATTTATTCTTCTTATTTATTAATAATGGCAAGTGTTGTTAAACGGCTCGTTCTGAGCTGATTTTAATTTAGCTAGAAAAATATTGCCTAAATCTCAAGATTTCGCTAATAGATAACCAAACCCTTGTGCAACCTATGACCAAAATCTTCAGGATTAGGTAAAAAAAATTACGGATAGCCGTTTTAAAAAATCGGCTAAATCGACCCGTCTAACCACAGCAATATTGGCATTTTAGATCTAGACAAATGATTATTGTCATTTAATTTTTCATTTTTGTTCCCTCCAATGGTATATATAATATCATGGGTATTATAATACCTTATCAGCCAAAAAAATTAATGTTTTTTGAAAATACATAGCTTTATCTTAAGTGGTCACATTTAGTGCCACTTATTATCCAATATATCTTACCTATGTAAAAATAAAAATATGTCTTATCCTAAAGTTGGGGCACATAAATTGAGTGTTTGCGTTTTCCCCTTTTTTTAAAAAAAACGTAACGCATTCCTCTTTTAAATTAAAGTTATCTTTTTTTTTAATAGTATCGTCCATTCATAATTTCAACTAAGTTATAAAAAAAAGAATTGGTTTTTGTAAATTATATTATCGCCTGCCTTTATATTTCATAAATTTATAAATATTCATTTTAAAAGATAAGTTTTTTAAACATTTTATACAATATTAAATTTAATTTACATATAATTAAGACACTAGAAAGAGATTTTATAAATTTAATTTACATATAATTAAGACACTAGGAAGGGATTTTATAAATTTAATTTACATATAATTAAGACCTTAGGAAGGGATTTTAAGCCCCCCCCCTTTTATGATTCTTATCTGATGAACAAGGTTTGCTTTCTAGCGAAAGAATAAAGAGTTCTTAAAAAAACGGGTCCAACGTGTAAAATGAATGAATAAAAAGTGTTGAAAAAATTAAACCAGTTTTAGCTTTTGTTTTCTAACGGCAAGCGGTAATTTGATCAATTTGCACAATACCACTTGAAGTGCAATAATTGAGTTAGCAACGCAAACGTTTTAACGCTCAATTTATGGGTACCCTAATAATCATAGGAATTTTAATGTGCATTGAAGAACCATCTTTATTTTTAATCGATTGATGACTGCCTAATTATTTCGTTGTATAAAATTAGGTTCAAATAACTACTCTATACTTTAAAAGATTAATTCTATTAGCACCATCACTTTTCACGATCTAAATTATTTATGATGTATAGTTATTATTTATTAATGTTATTTTTGAAAGCAAAAGTGTTTTCGTTTAAATCTGTAGATTGCGTGCGACATTACGAAATATTTAAGGAAAGATCATCTAGATGATCTGGATTAAAAGGATGGATTAAAACAAATAGATTTAATTTTTTTTTAAAAAAAAATTTTTTAAATTAAGTTTTCATTTTAAACAATGTATAAAATTTAAAAATAACGAAAATGTATCTAATTTTATTGAAGAAATTTTTAAACCTCGAAATATTTTTTTTACACATGGTCATTTCTTATTTACGATATCATAAGGCACTTCTATCACGGAGGGAATATAGGATATTACGCAAAATCTATTTAAATAAAATGTGGATGGAAGGGGATAGGAGGGAAAGGGTATGGAGAGGGGGTAGATGGTAGATGGTAGGGGGTAGGGGGTGGGTGTTTTTTCGTTTTTTAAATATTTTTTTAGAGGAGGGAGAAATTTTTAATGTATAGGGAAAAATATTTAAGGGTAGGGTAAATTTTTGGGGAGGGGGTTTTATATAGTCATTGGCTTAGGGTAGTGTCATTATTCCTTCTCTTTCTTTTATGTTTTATATAAAAAAAATCTTAGGCTGCATCGTCCCCAATCATTTTAAAATTCCAAATAATTATCTAAGAACGTGATTTTTTTTAGGACTTAAAAAATTGAGAATAAATATAACCTATAAGCATATTTTAAAGGTGTATCATCATCGTATTTCAAAATCTTTATTAAAGATGAGCTAATGCTCAGCTTAATTTTGCAATTTTTTGGGCTGATTGGGGAAGTTAAAAATCTAGAGGTCGATGGGTTGAAAATATTTCTAAAATGCGGGCGGATGTATTTGAAATATTTTTCCAGCATAATGAGAATATTGTAGATTTTATAAGATTTTAAATTAAAAAAATTTATTAAAATAAATAAAGAACCTAACATATGGGTGGAAGCGCGGGTTAAATAAAATTTTCTAAAAAATGGCCGGCGGATAATATTTTAACGTTGAGCGGAAGGGCGGGTTATGTAAGGGTAGGCTAAAAAAAATTAAAATATGTGCGGAATCCGTTCATTGCTGACCTTTACTCGTTGTGGCAAAAATAGTATCTTGCAAATTAAAAAAAAAATATTCTTTATATAAGATAAATTAAAATTTGATGTTTTTAACATGCCGACCTTGACTTTTAGTATTATACAATGGGAAATTTTTTTAACATAAGAATAATAAATTTGGATCTTGTACATTTATTATAAATGTATATATACATTTTTAAAAATTAGCATATTTTACGTTTAAATATAATTACAGATTTTTAGCAAATTGTATCATATAACATGACTATATTTAGATCGGGAAAAATCGAGATAAATTTAATTTCAAAATTACATAATATCTGTTAGGCGAACCATAGAAGTTCAACAATTATAACCGGAGAACCGGGTATATGTTATATTCTGTCATTTAGTATTTTGTTTTAGGTGTTGTTCTATTTCCGACCATTTTGATCTTCACTAAGGTGAGCCCCTTACCATTTAAATAGCGTCATTATATTTTATATAACGATTTTAATAAAATCTATAATATATGTAGAAGCCAATTTTTCTAATGGATTTATTTTTTTCCCCATTTTTAAATCCGGTTCGGCTTAAATTTTAAAACCTGGCACTGATTTAAAAAAATTTATAGTTTTATAATCTTTAAGTTCTGCCAGAATTATCAAAATCGTACCGTTATTACGTCTACCGAGCCTGCAGGTCACCGAAGCTTAACACCCTGTTTTTTTAATAAGGCATGTCCAAAATATATTTTAAAAATTCTTACATTTCAAAATCTTTTGTAACTTTATAAAATTATAAAACATGTCTAAAATCTTCCATTAAATTTTTTAGAATAAATTTTTAAATTTTATTCCCACCAATTATTTTTATACTTCTAATTTGACTTAATACTTTTACCATTTTGATTAATATAACTGCCCATGCACGGCCTATACCTCAAACAGTCCCGTGGAATATGATATTTGCAGATGATATTGTGATACTTGCCGAATCCAAGTGAAATGAAAGAAAGATTAGTGAGTTGGATAAATATACTAGAAAAGCACGGACTAAAAGTAAATAGAGAAAAGGAGATGAAACAGAGAGTATTGATATAAATGAAGGGCAGATATCGGCAATTGAAAGCTGCAAATATTTGGGCTCCACTATACAAACAAATGGCACAATAGAAAAAGAGATAAAGAGTAAAATTAATCAAGGGTGGTTAAAGTGGAGATCTTTATCTGGAGTGCTATTTGACAAAAGAATCCCACACAAATTAAAGGGAAAAATTTACAGTCCCATAGTACAACCAACTATTCTATATAGTTCGGAAACATGGCCAACCAAAGAATCAGACGAGAGAAGTCTACAAACTATGGAGATGAGAATGCTGAGGATGATTGCTGGGGTATCAAGAAAGGATAAAGTGCGCAGTACAAGAATACTAAGTAGTTTAAAGGTAGTACCCATTAAGACTAAGTTAATGGTATACAGACTTAGGTGGTATGGGCACACAATGAGAAGGCCTATGAACTACATAGGAAATAAGGTTGGGAGTTTGGAAGTGATGGGCAAACGTAAAAGTGGAAGGCCAAAACTTCAATGGGGCCATAAAGTTAGAGCCAATATAAAGAAGTATAAATTAGATAAAAGAGATTGTATGAATAACATAAAGTGGAGAGAGATGTTGAAGGAGCTTACCACCAGAAAAGGTGAAAGCTAAAGAGAAAAAAAAACTGCCCATTTCTTTTTATAACTAGAAAAATATTTTTAGAAGTTTTATAAATTTGAAATTTTATTCCCACCAAATTATTTTTATACTTCCAATTTGACAATACTTACCATTTTGATTAATATAACTGCCCATTTCTTATTATAACTTGAAAAATATAAATAAAATAGTTAAAATTTATTAAATTTTTATAATTTCTCGAATTTTAAAGAATTAATAAGCTTTCGCAATTCCAAAAAAATAATTGGCTACTATTTTATTTTTACATTAAAAATAGCTTATTTCTCTTTTTTCATTAAAGTTACCAATTTTTTATATTTAGGACATAGTCTAAAGTAAATTTTTAATCCATTTCTTATGGCTTAAGTAGCACTTCAAAGAACTAATACTTGTGCTTTAATGCTATAAAACTAAGAGACTGTTCCATCTAATACGGCTTAAGAGAGTTAACCTTCCCATATATATTTAGATGCTGTTTCCAACATGAATTTTTAAGGACCGATCATCTATGTAAAACTCCCAAAATAATATTATATTTCTTTAATTCAATCAGTTTTCTCTTCAACTTTCTTATTTTTATGCAAGACTCAATTAGTTCTATTTCCCGAAGTTTTCTGGTGATTATACACAGCTTCAGACTTTTTTGCTTACTATTGGTTTGAAAATTAAAATTTTATATCATATAAGTTACCTTCGACTTTCTTTCATAATTAGCTGTGAAAATCCACATAAGGAATATATTATTTTTTTCTCAAGCACTCACTACACATTTAGTCAGGGTTAAAAACCCATTATTTCCAAAATTTTAAGTGAGCTCTCAAATAGTCCAGTGTTTAAAAACCATATTTATAGGGGTTAAAAAATACCTGAATAACGTTCAAATAACAAAAGCAATTGATATTTAATTTTGTAATGATAGGATAACTCAAGGCCTTTTCCGTGGCTTAACTTTGTAATTGGCATTACCCGAGGACGGTGCAAAAATGAGTGGCAACTCTAATTATAATTTGATAAAAAAATTAAATTAAAAAGATTATGAAATGAAGACTACAATAACATTACATAAAGGATGTGCTCTATGCCTAAAGGCATATTCTTTGTTGTGTTCAGATCTACATTCTTTCTTAAGGGAAACGGCAAATTTTAAGGTTGACATTGGATTAATATTGTTATATCACTAGCTTTAACGAACTTCAAAATAGTTGAACCAAGTTTTTATAATAAATCTTAAAGATTTAAAATTAATTTTTTTTTGCTAAAAGTTTGGCATCCGTATCAACTGAAATAACTGTTTTCCCCAGAATTTGATTAGGATTTCTGAAACTGTAAGAACCCCATGAGTTTTAAATTTACAGACTTTTTAATTAACCAACTCTTTAATTTATACATCACCTCCTGAGTACACTGTTTTAGCCTTAAATAATTTTAAGAAATTAGGGCGGGTCTTGAAATGAGTACACTTAGTTGTGTCATTAACCTTTTTACTATCTCAGGGAACTCGAAAACTCTTCTTTTTTTAAAAAAACTACATTATTTTTTGGGGATTTTCAAAATGACTTTCATTTTTAGCTAACAATTTTGAATTGACCTTTTTTTAAAAAAATATATAAAAGAAATTTCAAAATTTTTTTCTGGGGGTTAAGCTTTTAAAATTTTTTAGGAGGCTTGAGTCGCAATGCCCCTCATCGCTCCTAATGACGCTACTGGGTACACTTCTGCATGTCTCTCATTTCAAACATAAAATAACAAAAAAATAATATTTGTTAGATGTAATTTAAAATATAAAATGCTTTACCGCAAATGGTCATATATAAACTTTCTTAAAAATAAAATGACTAGCAAATGTTTCCAAATCGAAATTTTCCCACTAGAACCAAGGACAGAAATGTTCTGGACAAAATAAAACCCGGACCCAAAAAAACGCTGAACAAAAAGACACTTAACAAAATACTTTAGAAATTTGTTTATATGCTTAAAAATGGCGTAATTTTTAACATATTCACTTTGTTTAAAGTTTTTTTTTGAAAATTGGGGTATTTTTGCCCGTCATTATTTTTGTTTTGTCCTGATTACTTTTGTTCCGAATACTTAGTCTTTATATCTAGGACATTTATTTCCATCATTCGTTTCATTAACATTTAGTCTCCAGATAAGAAATGGTCAATCACCCTACTAAGTCTTTTTTATATACTCTTTTTAAAAAAAATAAAAACTTATATACTCTGTTAAATAATAATATAACCAAACTTATCGGATTTTATATACTATTTAAAATAGATTATTGGGAAATGGATTTATATAATTTACCACCAGACATTACTTAATCATGCTCCTTGAGTTGATATGAATAATGCATTAGATTAGATTAAAACATTTTTTAAAATATTGTTATAATTATTATAATAACCAATTTATTATGCATCTATTATTGATTTAATATTTTCCAAATATGAAATTTTAATTTTGATTTTATCTTTAGAGAGAGTTGTAAAATAATTTATTTTTTTAAAGAGAAATAATTTTTACCCTCTCTTGCAATTCAGGAACATGATCTTAAAATCGAAATTATTACATAATATTTCCAATCTATTTCTTAATGATGATTATTGTTGGAAAATTACAGTAAAATTTAGATTATGCTATTTTTTATTTTTTTTAAGTTACTAAATAATTTATGCAAAATAATGTTTTAGAAAAGAAAAGGATGTTTACAAAGTTTGGACCAACCGGAACCTTAAGAAGGAACCAATCTAGAAACTCGAAACCCTTCCTTTAAAATTTTATTAAAGTAATCCATATAATAAATACAACTTTGTATCCTAGGACCGGTTTGAATATAAGAACCGGTGTCACAACTTTGTTGACACGGAACCGATTTGAATATAAGAACTTGAATCATTTTTTTTATTATATTTTCCAAAACATTATAAATTATATTATTTATAAATATTTATGAATATCGATAAATCCTTACACTAATTTAATTTAAATTTAATATTAGAATTATCAAGAAGTTAATTTGTTGTAGGTGTATAAAATCAAATTTATAGGTCCATAGTTTGAATACAGTGTAATAATATAAAAAATTTTGAGTTCATCAACAAACTTCTAAATTTAAGTAACCTGCATAAATTCTTAAGGCTAATGATTTATCTATATCATTAATCATAACTTCTGCTCAGGATTGAATTTTTTTAATATTTACATTATAATTCCTTAATTGATTATAACATATGCTCAGCATTGAATTTTTTTGAAATATTTGCAGTAGAATTCCTTAATTGTTTTTTTTACCCAAAACTCATTGGATTTTTTTTAAAAAATATTTACACGGCTCCATAATGCACGCATATAACGTTTTTTTTATTTCCAGTTTCAGAAATTTTATGATTTTTAAAAAATATTTATTTCTTGATTCTAATATTTCTCACTTTTAATTATAATTTTGGTCCCTTGAGAGAACGGCGGTAATAAAGAATTTTGTTTGAGGTGGAGTTGGCGAAGCTCTGTTAGATATACCCACAATTATTTAAGCCCCCCCTCCAGAAAGAAAGAAAGAAAGAAAGAAAGAAAGAAAGAAAGAAAGAAAGAAAGAAAGAAAGAAAGAAAGAAAGAAAGAAAAAGGATTTATTCAATTATTAAATGGATATTTATTATGTTAAGCGAATTTCCCTCCCCCTTCCTGAATTTTAATTTCTTATTTCGATTTTGAGATATTCTTTTTTAAAAATTAGGGCCGTGGGCCGGGCTCAAATTTAAAACAATTTAAAACAAATTGCTGCCGGGGCGGGCGGGCCGTAGAAAAAAATTATCTTGCAGAGGGGGGAGGGCAGAATGGGCCATAATTATATCCCTTATATTATTTGAGAGATATTAATAGCATTTTTTTATGGCTAAAATTTTTATTTTTTAATATATTATATCAAAGAATTCAAAAATGTGGATTTAATAGAGACTCATTAATTGATATATAATAAGATCAGTTCCGAGTAAGACTTCCTAAATTAAAATTTTATAACATTAAGATGACAGGAAATTTGATAGATAAAAACAAAATTAACGTTAAAAGAGGATAGGTAAAAAAAACATTCACTTCTTGATTAGATTATATATTAGATATCAAAGAATATGTGGATTTAATTGACTCTTTGATTGATATATAAAATCAGTTCCGAACATGACTTTAAAATTCTTAAATATTATTTACCAAATGGCATAAAATATTTAACAGCTATTAAATTTTAATAAAAAATACTGTCAGTGTCACAATCACAGATATTTTTTTAATTAATTATTGATTAAAAAGAAGTTAACAAAATAATCAATATATTGTTTTAAAAGATAAGAAAATATTAATTAAATATTTTTATAACGAATGATAATGAAAAATCCCGTTTTTTTAAATTAAAATTGTTCGTAAAAAAAACAAATATTTTTTGAAATTTGGTTTGACATGAAGCACCTGGGATCAACCAATCTGAACAACGTTAAATATGTCGACAGATTTTAGTTGAATATTTTTTATATACCATATCATAGGTATGGGAATAAATAATACCATTCTTAAAAAAATTGGAAGAATTTTTAGCATACTAAACTTTTGATTTATACTTCATAATGGATAGGCTGTTTTTTAACCTACGCTTAACGTTAGAGCTATTAAATCGATGGTTTTAAAGTTGACAAATTTATTTTATCTTTTAATTTCAAATGTATAATGAAAATTTATAGATATTAATATTTGAAATGAATTTTTTTTTGTGGCATTTGCCTAAATAATATTGCTATCTATATCTAAAACATTAATTAAATACTTTGAATACAAGATAAGATTTGAAACATTTTTATTTTATACACTCCCAACTTTACTAAATTAAATAAATATAAATATTATTTTATTTTTTTTCCACCATATTTAAAATAGAACAAATTATTGGGATTTTTCATCTTTTATTTTTTAAAAAACTATTTAAATTGCAATAAATAAATAAAACTATCACAATTAGGATCACAATTTTTTATAAAATATTGATGGGACAGGTAATTTGGATATCCTTTTTACTAGTGTTGTTAAATGGCTAGATTTGAGCCGATTTTTAAAAACGGTTAACTCAACATTATAGCCAGGAAAATATTGTCCACGAGATTTCGCCAATAGATGTTCAATCCTATGTGCCATCTATCAGCAAAATCTTTAGGATTGCATAATATTTTTCTGGATTAAATATTGAGTTATTTTTAAAAACGGTTCAAATTGAGTAGCAACACTACTTTTTAGTTAAGAGAAATGTTTTTATAATAAATATAATAAATTACATTTTTATGTAACTTAATATTATTTTTTTTATACATATATTAGGAACACTTAACGAGGAGAATGTCTTGATAAAAAACAGATAAATGTTTCGAAATAATCGATGAACAATATAGGGTTAGTATTTAACAACTCTTCCATCTTGCATCCCAATAATTCGTCTACGGATGCTAACTCGACTCGAATACATTACGACATTTTGCATAACCCGGAAGTGAATAATAACTTAGTTAGGAGCCCTCAGATAGAGTTTTTGTATTATGTAGCTTACGGTTGGATACAACCATTTATCTTGTTAATGGGAATTATAGGAAACACCCTAAATTTGTGTGTTCTTTTAAATTCAAAAAGGAAACATTCCACCCATATACTGATGAGGTATGTAAATGATTTTATATAATATATTTAAAATGAAAAACCTTTTATTATGATATCGTTTTAAAAAAAAATCTTTTCATATATTCAAATTTTTAATTTTATTATTCTTAGTTTTACTAGCCAGTTCTGATTCTTATAAATTTTAAAAGAAATTTCCAGTTTCTAGCTCCTGTTTTAAACTCTTATATATAGTGTTTTTAATACAACGTATACACCTGATTATTAATATATAAATATTTTCATACAGAGGCATGGCATACGCAGATTCCATAATAGTGTACACGCTAATCCCTATCATATATTATAGGCATATAAACTATTTTAATCGCCTCAAGATGAGCAATGATTACCACAACCTTACCCTATTACAAAGTTCTTACGACACTTTGTCAGCTTTCGAAAACATATTTCAGCACTCCAATATATCCCCTTATCCGGCCCTTTATTTTTACAACACGTCAAACTACACTCAGGTTGACGATAATACCCTACCCATCATCATAACTTTGTACCCTCAAAATGTTATATCCATGAATTCTAACGATGCTGCAAATAAATGGTACCAATCCATTTTATATTTATTTGAAAAGGACTCTAACACCGTATATTCTGGAGCTAACGCGACGCATTCTATTTTTTACCCCTTCGATAATCCTTTATCTGATGACTCCTTCATCTCTAAGCTCGGTCGCATTTTAAGGAGCAAAAGATTTTCGACAATGTCTTCATTTCACCAAGAGGAAGTTAAAAGCATTGAACAATTGAGACCATACTTTAAGAATTATACATTCGATAATTTTACAGTAAACACCAGACAATTATACAAAATAATGAAATGGAACAACGATAATTCTCTTAACATTTGGTGGGAATGGTGGTGGTATTTAAGGAACAAGAATAAAAATTTTAACCCGCAAATGAACACTAATAAAGAATCCTTAAAAAATTTGTATAATTCTAACAACAGTTATTTTAACGATATGTTTAGTACCCGCTGTCGAGAATCAGAGATATCGCCTCTTATTTTATATTGCAAAAATTTACAAATCCTCGGGGAATACAATCGAAACAAGAAAAATATGAACAAGATCATCAATAGACACACTCATAACTTAAACACAAAATTTTGGGCTTACTACAGGTTATACGGCATGTATTTTACGGTTAACACATTTTTTGCTGCTTCAACTTTCGTTACTGTAAGTATGGCCCTAGAACGTTTGATTACCGTTTACATGCCTCTAAAATGTGATACTATATGTAATAGAAAACATACTCGGTTAATGGTATTCGCATCTTTCATATCTGCTATCATCATAACTTTACCGTTGGGGCGAGACTACAAGATCGTTTCTGAGAAGGAATTATTCGTCAAAAAAGTTTACACCGCCAATCATTCTATCAACTTGGATCCGCCATCTATCACTAAATGCGATCATAATCTTTCCTATTTTTTGAAGGAACGCTTACATGGCATCGATATTTGGGATAAGGCGATCAACAACAAATTCGACATAAAATTGACTCCCATGAATAATTTGATACAAAGCAAAGGAGCTCACAAAATGTTTAGGAGCACTTTGGATCTGAATTACAATTTCACCTTTCAAATTTATTGCGTGTATAACCGAAATGTTAAAAACCGGACTATAATACCAATTACTGTAAAAGGAAACCGAAAGAAGTCTAACGTGGACGCTAAAACGTTATATAATATATCGCTGTCCGTTCAAGATACTATCATATCTATTACCGTCGCTAGTGTAGTTAATAGTTATTACAGGGAACACAATACTGAATTAGATCAATTATTCTCATATCGAGTCGTATATAAATGGTTATGGGTTATTTCTAGCAGAATAATACCTATCATTTTTATCTTAACCGCCAACATACTGATAGTCATAAGGTTACATAAAGCGTCAAAGTCCAGGAAAAGCTTGGTTAACAATTTTTATGATATTGACTATCCGAGTGATAATGCATGCCAATTACTAGAAAACCCTAAAAATAACTTTATTAGTGGTTTAAATAGAATGAATAAATATTTGCCTATTAACCTAATCAAGCATAAATATGAATTTAATAAAGGAAACAAGGCGAATAAAAGGTTTGAGACAAATATTGACAATCGCAAGACTTCGTTTTGCAGAAAACCTGGTATGGGTCTAGATGAGAGAGCTTTTAGAGATTCTAGAGTAAGATTTGATTCTCTTAAGAATTTCTACGAAAATAAGAGTAAACTCGAATCCGGGTCCAGTGTCCTAACTCATCAAAATCTAATCCCTTATGAAAAAGAATCTCCCAACGATTATAAATCACACCGAACTCTATCCGATGTTACAGGCCCAAAGTCAAAAAAACAATACAATAAACAAATATCTAGACATAAATACGTTAAGGAACGTCCTAAATATCTTAACCGCCCTACTCTGCACCAAAGCTTATATAAAAATAACCCTAGTAGAGATCTCGTTAACAGTCTTAGGTCCAAATACGAAGAAAAAGTTCGTCTCAGTAACAATTTTGACAAATCGAACGAAAATTTAGATAATTCTAAAATAGATCAAAATAGCGACGTAGATATCGGCCGTTTTTCTATATCTTCCTTGCTGTCTAATTTTCCTTCTTTCTCCTTGTCCATTACTCCTAATAAGGGTGATCGTTCTGCTAAGAATCTTCAAAATCAAAAGGGCGGTGGAACCAGTTGCAAACCAAACGATAGGAGAACCGTTCATTCTATGGGTTCAATCCTAAATCACAAATTGGCTAGGAAAGAGCGAAATCTGACCAAACTCTTAATAGGGATTTCCATACTATTCACGGTATCGGTTACACCGCAAGTATTTGTTATGACCCAAGGCTACGTGGGGGATAAGCAGAACTCTTATTTTTATCACCTTTTTACAACCACGGCTAATCTGCTGGAGATAGTGAACTATTGTTTGAACTTTTATCTCTACTGTCTATGCAGCGAAGATTTTAGAAGACATTTGAGGCATTTTTTTAGAAGTTGTAGCTCCGGATGTCATAAAGGAATAGTAAAAGTTTCGCGAATCATAACGATGAAGACAGACTCCACTTCTATCTAAATTATTTATCAAATAGATAAGATATTTTATTTTGGGATCAGTATTAGAAAATATTTTTAAAATATCATCATAAAATTAAAATCGAAATAACATTTTAATAAACATGTATAGTTTCATTATATTTTATTGCTCAATATAATTATATCTTACTTAAAATTTATTACTTAATATCATCTAAACAAAATTATTTTTAAATTTTGTAATTATATAGAATAAAAATATTTGTTAATTAAATTACTCAATCAAATATTCTCTTTATCTTTACTATGGATCCAAGCTGAACAAAATCGGCAAACCCAATATTAACCGCTATTTATACCCAATTATAAACCACTCGAACTGTTAATAAATATATCACCCTAACCTGCCTGAAATAATTCTCCAAAAGTTGTGAAGTTTGAACCTTTTGATATTCTAACTGTTTACAAGTATCAGTCGCTATGCTCCTCTTGGTAGATTTGTACAAAAGAACCGAATACTAATTATTTATTATTCGTTTTGTATTCGATTTTGAATGGGTCTAGTAGAGCACCAGCTACCCAAGTTGCTAAAGATAAATCAAGTTTTAAAAATATATATAGAGAATTTAAGAAATATGGCAGGATATATAAAAAAAAAAATTTTTAAAAAAAAAGAAAAATAAAGATTATAGGACTTTAAAAAAATTAAAAATGAGAAGAAAAAGAAGATTACGAAAAAAGATGAATAAAAAAAAAATATGAAAATAAAATGAAATAATCAAAATTTATATAAAATGCCAATATGATATTTGAAGGATTTAAATTTAATATAAAAAGATCTTTTTTTTTTTTGAATTGTAATTTTTTTCCTTTTTTAAAGGAAAATTTTTTTTTTCATATAAAACTAATACTAATCTTGTTAAAAAGCCCAATTTGGGTCTATTCTTAAAAATAGCCCCGATTGAGATTTTAGTCAAAATAATTTTATGTAAGCCTCGTCATTTGGCAAATAGATGTTCAAACCTTTTTGTCATCTAAGAGCAACATCTTCAGATTTACAGAATATTATTTTGGAAGATCGACTGAATCTGGCTTTTTAAAACCAGCTTATCCTTTTTTGATCGGACCTTTTTTCTTTTCGACTTTTATGTAGTCTTATTTGTTCATAATTCTAATAAATTTTATGCGAAAAAATGTTTTAATGGTTCAAACCGAACAGATATGATTTTTTTAAGAACGGAACCCCGGAACTGATATTTTTTATCATGAATTATAACAAAATCGATATTTATTACAATTTCCCTAGTTTGTCGAAATTGGTCTGAAATTAGCTTTAAACCTGTGTTATTGGTGTTTACCAGAGAAAGTGACTAGGAGATAGTGATGTGAAGATTGTTAAATACTTTGGTGGTAATATCGGTGTGTAAAAATTAGGGTTGGTAAATCGGACAATTAATAGGTCAATTAATTGGTCATATATGGTAAAGTAACTGAAAGTATATTTGACGTTTAAATAAGACAAATACTTAAAAATGTTATTTTAATGCTTATATATATCATACATCTATCGTCACGTACTTTGAAAGGATTAAATAACCTTAAGAAGTTTAACTGTGTATGAGAAACTAGGGCTCTCCGGCAGGTAGGGTAAAAAGGCAAACGGCTATAATTTTTTTATTCTTAGGTGGAATTCAAATTAAATTATACATACTATCTACCATATCTTCATTTAGTAATGAAAGCTCCCTTTTCAAAAAATATTGATCAGAAGCAATTTTTAGCCTTGTTTTTCAACCACTTTTCTTTTATGTATCTTTAGCCTTGTGACATATTGCCAAACGTCTAGGTTACGGTTTAAACTTAGTCTGAAGTTTCTAGCTTATCTAGAAAAGTTTCTATTATCATTTAAGCTAACTCACTATCCCTAGAGCTAAAACGCTAAAACGTTAGGGGATCAAGAGCATTAAATTCCATTGAAAAAGAATATTAAAATCTAAAAAAGAGATAATTAAAAAAAAATTTACAAAAATTGGAACTGTGCGACAAAAGTTATAACCATAGTAAAAAAACGTAAACTAGATATAGCATACCAAATGTCCCGAATGGGGACATTCTAATTGTAGGAATTTCCCATATAGTGAGAATTGATTTTTCTTAAAATTTTTTTTATATTTATAAATTAAATATGTTAATTGTATCAATAAAAATTAACTATTTTGTATTTTGTGTGTTAAATTTTATATTTGTCATCTCACCCCCAAGATCTTGCCATCTTACCCCGAAAAGCCCCGTTATCTTGCCCAGGGCCGTTGGTAAATAGTAAAAAGCACAACCTTTATTTAGCCATAAATAGTGCCTCCTACAGTATAAAAGGTAGAAGCCCCGATTTTTATTCATTTGGTAGTCCAATGATGTAGCCATCCAGCAATACAATTAGTTTTATCCTAAATTAAAATTTTCTTATCTAGCCGAAATCAATTGGTGTCTTGCCCTGCATTCACAGTTAGCGCGAATACGCCACGAAGAATACAAAAATACAGGGTATTTTATATGATTCGTGCTAAATATGAATAAGGGGTGAGATAAAACATTTGGAGGTATATTTAAAAATTTTGAGCGGGTATTTCTAAATTAATTCCCACATATATCAAATTTAAAAAAAAAACAAATATCATGTGCAATATTATCACTATATATATCAGGCGTAGTCATGATTTATCCAAAGGGGGTTTTGCGAAAAATATTTTGAAGGGTTTGGAAAGTTTTGCGGGCGAAGCCCCCAAAATATTTTTTGTAAATCCTCTTATGAATTTTGGCTACGCCACTTATATGAATCAACACAATAAATGATTAAATTAATTAAGATGTTCAAGATGAACTTCCTTTATGAAATTTTGCAACAACTTCAAATTTGCAAGAGAGCTCTAAACGCATCCATCAATGAATAAAATGTTGGCGATATATACCTAATTGAAATAATTGGTAATAAAGTTAAAGGATTATTGTTCAACGAAATCATATTTTACAATAATTGTGGCTTTAACATATATTTTTGCAGACATGCGAAATCAGGTTCTTAGCTTAGTTTGAACCAGGCCTTAGGCGATCAATTTTAGATAAGAAATTCAAAAAAGGTTTAAATATATTTTAATTATTAGCTATGTCATTGTATGCATATATTCTCCACAAAAGAGGAAAAATACTTTATATTTGAAGTAAGTTTTAAAAAAAATATATCTCACTACAACTGGTCAATAATAACTCAGTTAAATCAAGATAAAAAGCTTTGCCAAAATCAACGAATGGATCATTAAAATTATTTAGAAATTAATTATATGCATTCATTTATTAACATATTTTATATATTTACAATTATTATCAATTGACATAATATCGTGCAATCAATTAATTATATTTAATCGGGTATAAATATATTATATAATATGTAAATAATCAATAGGCACATTTCTGTAGGGCGACGGTCAAAATTTCAGGTTGGGTAAAAATATTAGGAATCGGGAAATTTTTGCAAAATATGCCGACCCGGAATTTTATTAAACTTTGAATAATACAAATTGTAATTTTTCCTACAAATATGGGATTATGGGCTGGTAACTTATGTAAAATATTTAATGCAGGACTTAAAAAGGATTCCCAGAAATATTAATGCTGAGTTTGAGATTTCTTTCCTATATAATTCGGGCCACAACTGATCATGGGCTTGGCTTAGATCTAATAAACTTGATACTAGGCCTAGTAGGGCATGGGTGAAAAATATTTGATTTTACAACTGTTAAATATGTATTTTATTTCGAGGTTCGAAGAGTGTAATAAGAAATTTACAATAAGTTAGATAACAGGGCGGGGGGGGGGGGAGAGTAGTCTTTGGACGTCACCGGTAGCCATTTGGTTTCTTCGATGAACGAATCAAATAACAGCAGAAGCTTAGGCAAGACAAGTTGAAAGATTACTTAGCTTTGTTTTACGGGATAGATAAAAGGAAAGGAATAAATACTTTACATGTCTTAAAATATCCAATAGAGATTTATTTTATTAATACAATCCTAGGGAACTCAAAAAAAATTTTTTAAATTATTTTTAAGATTTTTTAATTAATATATGACTTTATAATAATATTAACTGATACAAATAATCTCCCTTGCATGTATTGTCTTAGGAGAAATTCCTAATACTTCAAAAATTCTAACTAAATTACCTTTTTTTAGGGATATAAAATAAAAATAGAATGTGATGTGGCTTTAAATCAAAGATTATTTTTTTTTAAGTAATTGTACCCATACAGTTAAAAGAGATTTTTTAAACCTAACAAATACTCAATTTATCTGCATCTACAAATTAATCCTGATATTTCTAATTTATCAATTAAATAAATGTGTTTTCACTGGATTTTAAAATTTTTCCATTAAGAAAATATTTATAAGCTAAATCTAAATGGACTATATATGTGGGAATATGGAAATAGGAGATATTAACATTGCATCTATACATAAATTAAAAAATAGTTAAAAAAAAATATGCATGTTAAAAAAAATAATAATATTAATTAAAATTATATTTTTACTCATGTATCATAAAAATTATTTAGATCTTTTATTAATGCTTTATTTAAATTAAATAATAATCAATATCATAAAAATCATCTAGATCTTTTATTAATGATTTCATTTAAATTAACAATTAAAGAAAATTGTTCATTTAATGTAGTATTGCATTTTAAATTAATAAAGGTATTGGATTAAAAAAATAATTTATTTCTTATGAGTTTAATTAATATTTGCAAATTAATAAGGGATCCTAATTCCTGATCTAGTATATGCTGTTTAAAAAATTCTCTTTTAACCATAAGGAACCTTACTTTTTATTATTAATTGGAAACCTAGATAATTTAAAAAAAATGATAATCATTTTGATTTAAAGCCACATCTTATTATAAAAATTAAGAGAGATTTATTTTATAATTTCATTATGAATTATATGGGGTTATTTTTATTTTTTCATTTTGTAATTTATCAATTTATCTTTTCTATCAAAAAATTAAAAAAATGAATTTTAAATTTATATCATTTTTATATATTCTTTTGTAAATTAAACGCTATTTTGTTATATAAAAAAATAAAATAAAATTTTTAAATTGCTCTATCTTGCGGA